CACCCACTCCGGGGATGGGGGCCGGGGTGACGGGGAGGAGAAGGACGACGACCTCTGGGGGGGCGGCCCCGCCCGGGCCCGGCTGAAGGCCGACCCCGGAGACGGCAGCGTGGGCGACAGGGCGCTGGAGAACGAGCCCGACCTCTGCCCGGCGGGCCTCGGGTCGCAGGGGGCAGCCGGCCGCTGGGGCTGCTGCTGGCTGCCAGGAACACAACCTGCCCCGGGGCCACGAAGGGCTCCCTGGGGCGTATCCTGAGGGGTCCCCCAAGCTGCTGGGGGGCTGGCAGGGTGACCGCCCTGGGCAGGCTGAGGGACTGGGCTGAAGGAGGCGCCGGGGCTCACTGGACAGGACGCGGGGGGAGCGGGCTGCCCCAGGCTCTCTCTGTAGCAAGTGCTGCTGTAGCCCGGTGTCCTGCCTTCGGGCGCGTCGTGGTGGGGGCTTCGCGGCTGCTTCTGCCCCTCGGGGGACAGACCAGAGCCCGGCATGGGCCCCGATAATATAGGAGGTTTGCCGGCCGCTTCTCCGGTCTGCCTGAAGTTACTGATGGGCGGCCTGTCTCGGGTGTAAAACGCGTTGTCGGAAGCCCTGCTCGGCACATCGCCGGCGCCTCCGTTGGCCCCGGCTAGCTTACTCGCCATCTCCTCTTGCTGTTTCTGCATGTGGATTTTGGTCATTTTGGAGGCGAAAACTTTCCTCGTCTCTTCGAAGTCCGGGTTGTTGCCCGAGTCCCTTTTCGTCCTGAACAGCCCGTCTTTCGACGCTTCGTACATGTTGAGGTCCTCGATAAATTTACTCGCCTCCAGTCCCAGATCATCGTATTTATCCATTTTTGGAATAGACGCGGCTGTCTCGTAATCAAACGTCAGGTTGTATTAATCGGCTGCTAAAAGGCGAGGGTGTACAAAAGCCGTCTCCAAGCGCAGCTAACTTGGCTCATGACTGAGCACGCCACTTCATAGCACAGTTAATCGCTGTATCAGAAATGCGACATCAGAGATTCAGAGTGAACCCGGTGAAAGAGAAGAATTCAGAAATGCCCGATACCTTTTCTTGCGCCACCTTGATCCTGTCCCGGCGTGTTCTCAAATCCTCCACATAATGTCAAAGAGTCGGCAAAATGTCACACTTCCAGATTATCCGCGTGGTAGTGGGGGGGAGAGTGCAGAAACAAAAGGCACAGACGTGGACTTGGACTCATGCAACGTTTTACACAAACGTCTCCTGTGATTTGCAGCACCGCACAACCCAAGTGCTGGAGGTGGTGGTGCGCTATTCCGCTCGCCTTGCCCGGCCAGCTCCGCTCTCGGCAGGATGCTGTCGGGCTCCAGAGGGCTGGTGATCTAGGCTGGACCCTGTTCCCCCAGTTTACCAAACCTCCTGCTATGGCGCTCAACGCGGAAGCGGCAGCCTCCGAAAAGTTTCTCCGAAGTTTGCAGGCAGGCAGGCGGCGAAGGAGTCCCCTTCTGCGGCGCAGCTCCGGCGCACAGTGAACTCCAGCCAAGCGGCTGCGAGACGCGCTAGCGGAAAATATTTCGGGCAGACACAGGAGGGACAAAAAGGAGAATGTAGACCATTGGACGGCGAGCACACACACTGCAGGCTCTGAGGTAGCATTTAAAGGTACAGGCGGCATTTAACTTTGGCCCGGGAGCCGGAGAACTGCAGCGTGCGAGGCCAGTCCTGAATGAAACTCGTGTTGTGCGGTGTGCAGTCAGCTCGGGCCCACAAACCTGCCGCCATGTCGAACAAGTAACATCATGGATAATTACAAGATAATGGCAATCGATATTATTGTTCGGCGTGTAAGCTTCTGGGGACTTGAAGTACTTAAATTTCGGCGCCAGGGTAAACTTGTACCAAGCTCCTACAACCATCTGGATATAAAAAAAATAACCTCGTGTTCTCAACCTTTATTGCTAAAATAATACAATTCATCTATAGAGTGAATTTCATCCTGAGGGATTCCATTAAAAATACACCCTGAAGATTATTGGGTTTACTAGACTAGACTTTCCTCCTCTGATAATATGCCCTGCTTAAGGCAAATGTAATTTAATTCCATTACTCTGTGCGGGATATTGCTTTAAGGGCTCCACAATACTACATGATAACACTTCAAATATTGACACCAAGCGCTGCCTCTTATCAGTCATCATATCCTGTGCCTGTGTTTGTTTTATTCTGCTCCATCGGACTCGGATTGTAATGAACAGGAATTATAAACATTTCCGTAACCTTGGCTTTTGTAGTGTTTGCCATTCCTCATAGCTTGGCATTATGTGCAAAATGTAAAAAGTCCAGCAAAGTCAAACTCATTAACGGCTTTATTTATGGTGACTCTACTATATAATCCAACTGTATCTTGAATATAGTATAATTTAATTCAGTCACATGCCTTATCTTGAAGCTCTACTAAGAGAGTCCCCTTTTATTTTTTTATTCTACTATTAATGTTGAGCAGAAACTAAACTCTTTTTAGTGTAAAGTACAAAAAAAATGTCGTCACTGAATTCTTAGCTATAAACATTGTCTCTCGGATAAATGTCTTACAAAAGCCTTGCCTTTTCAGAACACCGAATCACACTGTACGGAATATAGTTCAAAATACTCAGGGAAGGTTACAGTGTGTTTATAGAAAATGATGGATTATTGAGAGGCACTGATACATTGAGTACCGGTTTAATTTGTGCACGCCTTTGTTGCTTTGTTATAGAAAAATGATATTGAAAACGGCTTTGGTCATATTTCTTATGAGATTCACATTCCTGTTCCGGGAAATCTGACATCTTTTAAGCAGATCTGAGATGCATCCTCCTGATAAAGTAAAGTTGCTGACACCCTTACGCTATTTTGCCGATTCAAACTCTTACTTATTTGTACCAAAAAAAACACCGTTTTCTTAGCACACATTCGCCGATTTAACCTCCAGTATCTGTCGAGAGAATTCTTCCCTTCCGATCATGTCCCATTTGGCTGAAATACAAATGTATCAACATTTATAAAGTGAATTATTGTGATTAAAACATGAATGCTAAAAACAGAAAACATTTATAGGAGCAGGAAGTGCCAGTAAAAAAATGCGTAGGAAAACTAGCTCCATCGTAGGGTTGAGGGAAATATTTCATAGTGGTACATTGAATCGTTCTTCTAATAGGTAATCAAAACCATACCCACAAAAACACAGACTTCACATCCACTAAAGTGGTTTGAGACTAATTTTGCAGGATTATTAGAATTTGGGTATATTAGCATCTGTTTCAGAAACATTGCACCGAAACTGGAGTTATTCCCTAAACTTTTAGAAGATAGTTTAGAAGATAGTCACAAGAACTTCAGGTTCCAAAGCGTAGACGGAACCTGGGGTTAAAGTCTTGCTTAAGTTGGCTAATTGTAAGTTTATACATCAAGGTTATTAACCTACTGAAAATAGCAGAATTCGGTCATTACGTTTAAGGAAGGAGGATGCACTATCGCGTCACACCTTGATTGAAATAAAAACACCAGGTTCTGACTACAACAGGACGCCTGTGTTACTGTGCTAACATGATGTCACGCCTTCCTAACTTCTGTGGAACATAAATATGCTTTGATACGCCCACTGGTAAAATAAATATCACTGCTGTTTCCATGCAGACATGTGGCCCCCTCTTACTCCAGACAAAAGGGCAGTCCCTCGTGAGTCCATGCAATTTGTTTTTGTCAAGGACTTGAGTACCTGAACAGGTATCACTGCCTCTTACTCGCACTAGAACGTGAAAACCTAAGTCAAACACCGGTATGTCAACAACGTGGTTTACATGTGTCTGGACGCTTTGCAGTAGCGTTTCCTTTATTTCCGCTGTTTGAACACGAAATGAACAGAAACGTAAAGCGTAATAAGAGGCAAGAGTAAAATCAAGAGATGGAGGAACGACAAGACTTCTCACTTCACACACAGCTCGTTCAGGTAAAATACTGCAGCTTCGAAATTATTCTTGCACGTTGACGTGCATCTGCCACATACCTCATGTAGTTGGTGCTTCACTGTAGGGCGCAGTACTTATTTAGGGTGATTTGAGAACTGGAAGAACTGGTCTCATGCTTTCAATACTTTCTAGAGATCTTGTATTGATCATTCTTTGACTGAACCTGTTGCTGGAGAAAACCGAAAAAAGCTGTTTCTTTCCACGTGATCACTAGGAAATGGAAGAACGAGGGTACCAGTGTTTTTTAAAATCATGTATCACACTGCCTACGTGTAGTATAAACAGGAGTGCGATGCGGAGCAGAGAGCAAGCAACAGAGGCAGTGTTTCTGAGTGAGAAAGCATAACAGGAAAGAATGAGTGGCTGCAGTGTCTAATAATAAACACTGCATGTGTGTAACAGTTTCCCCAGAATGCTGATTGTAAAACAATGAAGCTTTATTGTGCAATCTTACCATCACAAATAGCCAGGGATGACAAGTTACTTAATATCCAGTCTCTGCTATATAATAGTCAAATTGTGAAACGGGGGCAATATACTAAAATCTTCTAACTAGAGTACCCCACCCAGCTCATGAAAGACTTCTCTCTGTTAAAATTGCTTTGCTTTTCCACCAAATTACAACTTGAACGCGGCAATTTTCATCAGACCCAGTGCATCACAAAACGTAAACTTGGAAAACGATCGTCGTTCTTGTTGTCTTGGAGATAGCTCTTAAAGTGATAATTAAACCTTCAGTGTGAAGCCCCAGTGTCAAATCCAATTTGACTCAAAGGGGCAGTTTATTCTGGCAGAGGGCAGCAGTCACATACTCAGAAGTTGGCTAAAGCTGCTTAAGTTTGTATTTCTGAAAGTAATGCATTTTGGACGTTTCTTTTAGAAAATAAGGGTGGGTGTGTAGCACAGGCAAACATATGACAGAGCAAACCATCATGATATCGTGCCCACTTTTTTTAGTCTTGTCTACCCTTCCTTTTCTCATGCACATTCTGAAGCAAATGCATATCACTGGCCTGATCTTTACAGAGCGGGTCCTGGTCAGTACTGGGATGGGAGACCACCCCGTTACTGTTTCAAGAGACAAGTAGGTCTCTTGGACCACCAGTACTGGTGGACCAGTAGGTGGTAATTTAAAAATATACATATTTCAGCACAAGTGAACTGGATTCCTTGCCTGGCCTGAGTTTTCTGATGGAGAGCTCTGGTGCACTATGAATCTCCTGCACACAATGAGCTGGGAGAAAGAAGAAGGGCAATTTCTGTTGAGAAATAAAGATAAACACTGTATTTGAGGGGGATCTGTGTTAATTATTAAGTTTTCCTTTATTTTGCATAACCGTGCACTCAACACCCGCAGCACAAAGTAAAAATCTAAATTACTGTTTATCAAAGAAACCCCGTAACTTAGCATCAACCAAATTACTACACACTGCTTAGAAAGCCTGGAGTTGGCGACTGTAAGCTGAGTGGTTCTGATTAAAAAGAACACACACCCAAGGCGTTTCAGGCAAGCTGTTGCAAATCAATAGCACGCTGAAGTAATGACAGAATTTCAAGGCTGAACAGTCAGCTGACTCTAAATAAACGCAAAATACAATTAGTAATTTAACAGCGAGGACAGATTATTCTACCCAGCTTAGGGATGCCTCATTGCAAATATGATGCCCTGTACCTTGTTATTGACATTCTTCAGTCTCTATATGAATCAGACTTGCCCCGGAGGTGCATTCTGCTCCAGCCTTAATAGGTATAATCAGATGATTATTTACAGCAAGCCATGGAGTTAGGTTTAAAGCTATATAGAATGGCATGCATGCATTTTCTGAAATGCACTCTGCTGTTTATATCCTTGCATTATAATTGCAATCTGCCCACATTTCAGTATTATGCTCACGGCAATTTAAATACAGGAAAAAAAAAGGGAAGCTATACAGTCAAATGTTCTCAGAACAGCAGGCCATTTTAAACTGCACAAAAACCAAAATGAGAAATTTTAATACAGAGTGCAGGTTAAAGAGAGCTCACATATGCCCTGGCTTTTAAATGAAGAATCGTAAGTTAAAGAAAAGGAGTGTGTCAAAGTTCTTCTAATTCTCCGCAATCTACTGACTGGATGAGGTACTGAGATTCATACAACAATCACCGGCTTGATCTTGTTATAAATCGAGCGATGACCAAAATACAGAAATGGGCAGAACGGAAGCAGACAGCCAGTTAAGTCACTGCTGAATCCTTCATTTAGAATTGCCTATATAAAAACCTGGCAGGAACCACTGCATGTGCTATTGAGGTTTCTTTCAGTCTTCAGTGTACCTTTTTACAAAAATCTCTATTTCACGTGCAGTATTAAAAAAGCAGAGGATGAGGACACAGGAGGTTCATGCACTAAGGAAAGTTAACTTTAATGTTTTAGTAACTTAAAATTCTGAGATCTGATGGGAGTACAAGGTAGAAAAACCTCCAAATTCAATGACTCATCAGCATTGCTTAGATTTAAAATGTTCCCAGATCTGCTTCCATTTGACTGTCGGTTCCATAAAGTCACACGAGTACAGTACACAGCTGTGGTAGAATGACTCAGTTCTTAAAAGCAGCCAGGAGCCAAAACCTTCCCCAAGTGCGAAATTGCTTTTTCGGCAAACTTGGATCAAGACTGGAACAGAAGGAAAGTTTTGAAGGTTTTTTTTTTGTGGGTTTGCTTCAACTGAAAAAGCAGAGCCTAAAATCTCTTTAAATTTCTCCTTGAAATCTGTGAAATATTTCTAAAAACGCTCCCAAACGAAGCGTTTTTTTTTGCCGTCATTTGTTAATAGAAAATGAACTTCAACAACTGTGAGAAGGCGCCATGCAAAAAAAAAAAAAAGCCGTTTATTTTTTCTTCTTGGCCATTTTTTTACACCCCATTTGTCACTGTCACAAAGTGGACTGCAATCCCAGGAGGCAGGAGCTGAAAGTCGCCCTCTAGCGAAAGCAGGTATGAGTCCCTTCTCATTGGACAGAGGGGCGGACCAATCCCACAATCCCACAATCCCAATTCCAGCACCCAGGCAGGGTCAGGGAACAACTCAGCGTGGTCCCAAAGATGAAGGTCACGACGTGATCCGATACAGAGCGTGAGGCAGCACATATTTCAGGTGATTTTCCATTTTAAGAAAAGAATTCTGGAACGAGTAAGTTGGCAGATGTATTTTGTTTTAAAAAATCGCAGGTTTTTACATTACTCTTTCTCATCACATGACATCACAAATATATTTCAAAAAAGAAGTGTTCGTTCCTAGTCCCTATAGTTGACGGGTCTCCCGGATGAATCTCTTTGTCCACACAATATGTGGATGAAACTCACACGTTAAGCAAAGTAACATCACGCCAGACTCCAGAAAAAGAGGAACCTTTAACGAGAGCGTAGATGTGCGGGAGTCAGTAAGCCTGACTTGGGGGCTCACGCAGAACAGAATACAAAAGCATTCCGACATGCTAACAAGAAAAAAATATATTTTTGTTGGGGGGTGGGGGGGATGATTAGCTCAGTGCTTTTGTAAAAGAAAGCTCAATTTTCTGCAGGAAACAAAAAAACGGAACCACAGAGACCCGTCTTGACCCAACGGCGGCCTGGCCTTTCGAAAGGGATTGGTTTGTCTCAGTCCTCCACCAGGAAGTTGATGAGTGCAGCCCGGGGTGACAGGATGGCCTTCCTGATGGTCCTCTCCTTCAGATGCTGGACGCCCACCTGGCTCCTGAGGACCAGCTCGCGGACTTCGTCCTGATTCCTGGACGCCCCCAGGGGCACGCTCACCGAGCCGTACGCTTTGTTGTTAATCTGGGGACAGAAGGGGGAACCGCGGTGTGAGCGACAGGGCAGCTGCCGTCACCCAGACGTTCACATTTCCCTGCCCTGAAAACCCTGCAGCCGTCCGGGCAGGGACATCTAACCGACTGGAAAAAACTGATGTCAGAGCCCCGGCCTCTCTGAGCTTCCCGCGGGTCTCCATGGACACACTGTGAGCCTGGGGATAATACCCAGACAAAGCCAGGATTTTTTAAAACCCTCCAGCTGGCGTTGAAAAGCATTGAGACTTCTATAAATTCTGAAACTTGGGCTACGCTAAATTGGAGGACTAACAGCTCTTGACAGTTTGGTGAACGGTATGAAACAGTAAAACAACCCCCTTGTCAGGCCTGCATGTCAGTGAACACATGAAAGTCAACTGAAAAACAAAATGAAAAACATATTCTTACTTACTCATACTTGACTGGCTGTACAGTCCTTTATTCCACAAGTTATTTGTGGAAATGTTTCTGCTGCTAAAAATATCAAAATTCGCTTTTTCTCAAGACAAGTTAAATCATTATCAAACTCCGTCAGAGTCGATGTGGGAGATTTTCTTTTTAATTTGAGGTATCCCGCCTTTATTCCCTTTAAGAGCACAGAATTCCCTGAAAAGCCGCTGTGGTTTAAACAAGCCCCTCAGCCACTGACTGCACATAATCGGTTACCAGATGCAGAAGGAGAAGCTCTGCCACACTGGCTATCTGGAGGGCCTGTGGTACAATCTGAAAGCCTAATTAAAGGGCCTCTGAAACTAAACCACTTCCACTGTCCCACTACAGTGCAAATTTCATCCCACTAGAAGCCCTTTCACTAGAACAGTGTTTCAGACCGTTTCATCTTTGGCTCTACATTACAGGACAGGTGTCTGTGAGGCCTGAGATCTTGGAAGAGATTAACTGTGTAGAATCTGATTAAAACCCAAAGCTTTGATATGCGATCACTGGCCACATTCTTTGAATAAGCCTCTTCAAGAAATCTGGCAGTCGATAAATGAAATAAAACTGCATGGATCACCTCATGGAGCTAGAATGTGAAAGAGATTGTCTGACTGGTGTCTCTTGAAATTAAAATTACACATTTCACCTAGGAATTTAAAAATCTCTTCAAGGTTTCTCATATGAACGTAACACATTAAAGATCAAGAGCTGAAGAGAATGATCCAGAATGATCCAGGAACTGAACAGCCCAAGCGTTATTCATCTGAGGTAAATTAAGTGAGTGAAAAAACGTCAGAATGACATTGATGGTGTTGTATGTGGAGTTAAACACATAGTACTAGAACTAAACCGAGGGCAGAACAACAATTCCCTGAATTCTGTAAATCACATAGTCCCGTTTAATAAATCCTTATGGAACCCACAGACAACCCAACTGTATTTAATACACAGAAACTGAAAGGAAACAAATATGGATTCAGCACTCCTGCTGTGTGTCTTTCTGTGTGTGTGAGTTTGTGTGAGCTGGCGTGTGTTTGTGTGAGTGTGTGTGTGTGTGAGTGTGTGTGTGTGTGTCTGCGTGAGTGTGTGAGCTGGCGTGTGTTTGTGTGAGTGTGAGTGTGTGAGGTGGTGTGTGTCTGTGTGCCAGTGCGAGTGTGCACATGCAATATGAGTATCTGAGGACAGGCAGGGGATGAAGCCATTCATTAACACACTCTGTCCTCTCTGATACTCCTATGGCTTTGATCAGGATTTCACTGACTTCACTGACCCCTCCCCCAGCCTCACCATGGGATCATCTGACTGATCAGCCACACAGGTAAAAAAAAAAAAACTAAAGATCTGCACAGCATCATCAGAAACGCTCCCAGTCCTTCCATGTCTACAGAGCCGTGAAACGTTACTTTATTTTTAATACAGAAATGAATGAAATACAGAAGCAAGACATGTATTTTAGACTGCGGCATGGCTCGACTTCTCTAAAGGAAAAAATGATTTGCTGTTTGATGATTCACTCCTCTACACACTCTTGACAACGTTCTTAAGACTGAGCTTCTTAGGAGGCTGTTAAGGGACATTGTAAAGGTTCCAGTCTAACCTCCTGTTAAACGTGCTGTGCAATCCGTTTTAACACTGAAGACCCTCATCTGCAGTTTACAAACAAGCAGCGAACAGGATGGGCACGATTTCCAGGCCAGTGGAAGAATGCCCCATGGGAAAAAGGCTCAGGAAGTGGGACTGAGGAAAGCCAGTGTCGTCACCATCTTAGGACACCAGGAAAGTCATGTTAATCAAAAACAATTACAAGGGAAGCAATAAACCAAACTTGTGCTGAACCGTATCAAACAATGCTTCCCTCAGTAAAAGCAGACCTTAATGGGGCCCTTTTCTCTCACCACATCTTTACACTCTAGAAGGCAGATGTCCAGTGTTCAATCATCCTGGTTACTGCTCCAAAGTAACTCCGCTGTTTATTAATGCTAAGAAGAAAAGCTTAGGAAGCTTGACTTCTATCGTGATACTGTAACAAGAAGTCTAATCTTTGAAACGCCCTCTTTCAATCAGACACCAATAAGATCTGATCCAATCACCAAATATATATAGGTACAAGAAGATTTGCAATAGTGTCACTTTAAAGCATCACTTGAATATGGAGTATATTGAAAAACAAACCAAGCCTATCTCTACTGAAATCTGAAAATCATACATGACCTGGTCAGTGACAGACTGTGCAATTGTGCAAGGAGAAGGAGAAGGGCCACTCTACAGCCAGCTCTGCGTGGACATGCTTGTTTGATCTCACCCTGACAGAGACTTCCACCGTGTCGGGAGTTTGGAGGTATTCTGGGTCCACGCTGGGCCAGTCCTGCTGCAACACATGAGAGTCCCACTGCAGGCCACGGGACAGTCTGTTCTTCACCTGCGACAAACCTGTGGAAAACAGTCAATAAGGCATCGCACTCACACCGAGCCCCAGGCAATCAATCCAGTGCCACAGAAACAGCCCTCTCAAGACATGTTGTAAAACAGTACGGAATACCTGTATGAACAGAGGAAGAACGAATTGTAATGTTGTTTGTTCAATGTAGGTAAATCAACACACTATGAAACTGTGGCCTAAAATCAGTTTTCACTCACTCCCAGAATGAGTCACCTAAATTTGATTGGAAACGGTCGTTTTCACACATGGGTAGTTAACTAGCATCAGACCTACTGTATGAGAAGGACAGTCATCACTCCACAACACATGATCTAACTGGAAAAATATTTAGCGCTGAACCAAAGTGAAGAGTTACATGAAAGCCTTTCAGTTAGATGGATCCTTTTCTACATAAGTCCTAGAAGCTCTGATTTGCACAGGGGCTAGAGTGAAATGTCAGATTGTCTAGAAAAACAAGTATTTAATGATCATCTCCCAAGTCTAACCAGTAGGACATGATTCTGAGCTGGGGATATCAAGCAGACAGACCTCTGAGGTGTAATTCCACGTGATTCTTTAAGGTAAGACATTAGAACCCTGTTTACCAGAGTTCACACACACTGTTAGTCATCTGTGTTGCAGACTGCCATATTCAGGGTGATTTGCAATCTGCATGAAGTTGACATGAAATAACGTCAAATGAATTAAATGGAAACGAAGCTGGACATGCAACAAAGACACCAAGCAGAGCAAATGAGCCAGAACTTATCTGTCAGTCGAGAGCTGCGAGGGAGTCAAAGAAAAGGCAGACAGAGAGCAGAGTTCGAGGAGGAAATCGACTCTCGCAGCCAGACGAGGGTGAAGATACAGGAGTAAGACAGTAAAGGAGATGAAACAGTCAAGACGGAGGTGACAGAGACAGGGGGAGCAGGCCCTGGAGACGAGGACCTTCACCTGACAGCCTGCTTTGTGAGCAGAAAGGGGAGACAGGGAAAGGGAAGAAATCCACGTGGAATATAGTGAAATACTGAAAGAAAATGAGCAAGAAGAGCAGGGGGTGGCGAGGGAAGGGATTTCACCTTGACAGCAGGAAACGCAAAGGAGGGGACGGAGAACAGCCGGGAGGAAGAGAGCACCAGTCCAGTACCGCTGCCCTGGCCCAGCCCAGAAGGACCAGGACAGGACACAGGCAGAGGAGAGGACTGCTGGGGTGCTGTGGTAGGATCCAGGACAGAAAGACAATCCGAAGCAGGACCGATACAATACAGCTAATATGACAGGAAGTGTAAAAGTCAACATTTCTCCCAGCTCCTAAGTTGTGTTGTGCTCACAGTCCTAAAAGTAACATTACCAACTTGGCTCCAGGCGGGGCTGCACACTGGTGGTGCTGGAGGGGATCCCCATTACCTGTAAAGCGCTTTGAGTGGAGTGTCCAGAAAAGCGCTATATAAGTGCAAGCAAGTATTATTATTATTATTATTATTATTATTATTATTATTATTATTATTATGATTAATCTAACGTGAGGTAGATGTGCAAATATAAGGGCTTCACTATATTTAAGAGTTTACGTTGAGAACGTGTCTAATCCAGTCTGTGGCCCATTCAGCGTATTCTAAGAGAAACAGTTCCACTATTTTAGAGGTTTAGCGGAGCTGGGGTTGTGTTTGAGAGTCAAATATATATACACAAACACCACAGTGTCTAATTTCAGATCAGGCTTCTACTCGCTTCTCAGGAGTTAACAAAAACAGAGCTGTTTAAAATCCCATATCCTCTTGAAGCCGAGACAGAAACACAGGGAGTTTCTTGTAGCAGGAGGTTAAGAGAAGGAAATTTCTCCTGGGAGCTCTGGATCCTGTCTACTCGGAATTCAAGATGAACACAAGACTCCAGTGTCTGGGAAATTCCATGCAGGAATTTCAAAAGCTCTGAATTCAGAACACTGCACAGCACAAAAATGCCAACAAACTCCGATGCCTGAGACTGTCCTTTCACGTTAATGCCAGTCTGTATGTGTAGCCAGTTACCTTTGTGAACGCAAAAGCTCAGGGCTCTGATATATTATCCTATGCAATGATACTTAATAAGCTACCCATTTATTAAACATTTTCACACACCGTGTCATATTCACATAAAGAGGTAAAAGATAAAGGAGGTGTTGCCAGGATAGGTACAGGCCGAATCGTGGCTGGGCATTTCCATCAAGATAACACATTCCCCAAACTGTGAATGTTAGCAGCTCCACAACGTGTAGCATTAGCCAACTGTACTGTTAACTTGGCCCCCAATATGAAAACAGTGCTCTATCACTGTTAAACTATGCAAATCACACTGAACATGGGAATGAATAAGAAACAGCACAAATGAGCCTGAATCTGGGAAAAAAAAACAAAATGCACATATTAAAAATGGGATGTTAGGATTTTGCTCGACTCCCAATTAGCTGCAATCACTCCAAATATGCAACACCCACGAAGTGCCCTCAAAGCAGCCCAGTGCTCCCGGTGATCTCGATAAGAAACCGTGCATGCTGAATAGTTTGCATTGCTACTGTAGTTTTTGCACTGGACCTAACCTGACAATACTCCACGATCTGCAGTACATTCAGAGGTGAAAACGCCCAGAGTAAATGTGGTCCTGTATCCCTTTATAACATACCAGTTGACTTAAATGGCATTCCTTATCTGTTTTATGGATTTCAGGGCTAGGATCAGAGCTGTCACAGCTACAATAAATAAAAAAAAAACCCACATATATCTGCAGGGTTCGGTGCACAAGTCTTTTTTTTTTTTGCATTTGCCTGGCTGTAAACAAAACTCAGAAATGACAAAACATGGGCCAAGGGAGTAGTATCCGCGGTGTATCAGCCTTTTAAGGAAAGGGCAGGTGTCCGAATGCCAGATACCAGTGGGCTCCAAGCAGCAGCAGCTTCACTCTCACCATGTGAATGTAACTTTGTTTCTGGTCAGTAATGGGACCAGCGTGAGGCCTGGATGTGGGACCCCTGGCCACTCCACACGCCCCTTTGTAAAATTCACAACAGGGTCGCTGTACTCCGGAGATGCGAGGCTTTCAGGAAGGATCTGCGTTTCCCCGTCCTGTGGCGTGTGTGGAGAACTGTGGGTGCCCCGAGTGGAAAACAGCGCAGTCCTCGCAGCTGTGCGCTGCCCCGGGCGCTGAGCTGACCAGGGATTGTTGTTTTGACTAGCAACGAGTGAAGAGTGAATGAACAATGCCACATCCTTCTCATCGCCGGCTCGCCATCGAGAACCACGACTTCTTTTATTATTCTTATTACTTTTTTTTTTTAGTGGACTACGGACGTGGGGAGAGGTGTCGAACCAAATCACGGTGCATTTGTAGTTTTCAGACAAGCTGGGTGCACCTATACAGGTCAGATGTTTCCAATTTTCCCGTTTTGCCACACCAGGATGTACATGCACACTCTTGTTTTGCCACCCCCCTGTGTGTGCTTTGATCCTGGGCAGTGTGACGGCTCTCCGGGGCCTCGCTGGTGCCCCAGCGCAGCGCGGGGTTTCCATTTCCAGGGGAAAGGCCAAGGTCAGACGCTGCGAGCCTTCCTGAGCGGCCCTGCCCCCGGCCTCAGTCACACGGGAGAGCGACGCCACCGGCCAGGATAATGGATGATGCAACGGCAGCCAGAGTGCTCCAGTACGCTCCCCACACACCTGCTCTCAGTGGGGAGGAGAACAGAGTGACGGCATCTTTTTTACAGTCTAGTGTCCCCGTCACTATACTGGGGCATTAGGACCCACACAGACGGCAGGGTGAGCGCCCCCTGCTGGACCCACTCACACCTCCTCCAGCAGCAACCTGAGCTTCTCCCAGGAGTCTCCCCTCCAGGTACTGGCCCGGCCCATATTTGCTGAGCTCCAGGGGGCGGCCAGCTGGGAGTTTTGGGGGAGTGACATGGCTGCTGGCAGAAAAGCCATGCTCCCAGCCCTTCCTCCTAAAACCCGCTCGGGGAGCTTGGCAGCGCCAGGAAAGACGGCATTAAAAACAAGGAGCGGCACGACGCACAAGACCTCGGAGAGGGGACGGTTCGCTCACCTGCCCAGAGCTCGGAGGCCAGGTGGGGGGCCATGGGAGCGGTCATGACGCACAGGGCGGCCAGAGCCTCCTCAAACTCCACGCTGTGCAGCACCACCCGTGGGGAGACGCGCTGCGGAGAGGCACGAGAGCCCGGTGAGGGAGTTGCGCCAACGGGCAACTGGAATCTCTTTGTGTGGTCTCTCACTCCCACCCAGCCCGGTTTTACACCTCGTGACGAGGTCCTCATCACGGAGGGGAGAGGGAGTTTGGACGAGCCAGACTCTGGCAGCCGATAGAGGCGAACTGATCTACAGCAGGGGCGTTCCAACGCTGGCCCTGGAGAGCCCCCGTCCAGCAGCTGTTACAGATCACTACTACATCACCAATTTCTAAACGGGAGGAACAACGAATTGCAATCAGTCAAGCAGGTGATTTATTACGTAACAGAAACTTAAAGATCATTTAGGACCAAAATCTTGGTGCCCCTCAGCCCGTAAGGACCAGTGTTCTCCTAACTGAATACACGGCTTGCTGAACTCATCAGTAATTTACAGGTCTTCCCAGTCTTCGGAAACGGGGGAGCTCTAAGACTAACTGGACTGGGGCTCTCCAGGACCAGGGCTGGACACCCCGGATCTATGTCCTAATCAAACTAGGGGAGTGGTGAACAGTAATGAGCAGCACCTGTTATCTTCCTCGTTGGAGCCTTGCCAAACAATAGCCGGACCACAATGCACTTAGCCTTACAACTGTCACGCTCACCCAAACACAAAACAAGGTACTCGTGCACTATCCCACTCACAGAGAGCGTGTTGGTTAGGCCCATGAGGCGAGAGATCGCAGCATTGAGCAGGAAGTCCTCTGTGAAGTGATGTGTCACCTGGAAGAACAAAAAACAGTGAAGGAATATCACTGCCGTGCTCCCAAAGCAGAAGGACACTCAGCAGCACCTGATTCTAAATTCAGAGGCATAATTTTCAGGTACTGGGGTGCTAACACACGCATGACCAGGACTGCAGCAGCCACAGACGCAGATAAAAAAGCGGTTGCAGATTTAGATGATCTTTTCCTAATCAGAGGTTGGCTCTCCACATGTTTCACCATGAAAAGGCTGATGTCAGTGGTCTTCGGTGAAATGAATCACTGCAGGAGTCACATTTGGGAAAGACCGGGACGGCTATTTTTAAGGTGTCAAAGTGGAGGATTAAGGTTTCAAAAGCCCTACAACTGTATCACTGCCTTGCAACGGCGTTAACTCAAAACCGCAAGATGTGGGCAGGCTTCAAGGCCAGACTATATCTCTTTGTCTCACTAACAACAGTACAGAACATAACACAGCGGTGCTTTAAAGGCGATACTCTCAGCGGACTTATCTTTACAACCTCCCTGCCATGCCACAAAAGCTGACTGACAAAACAAATACACCCTGAAATCAGCCTGAACAAAAGACAGCGGCATTCCACTTCCTGTCCAAATGTGCTACTGACAGGGGATCCCAGCACTCAACTCCACATCAAATCGCAGGCAGCAAGATCAGCGGAAACCCCCACTAGCCCAGACTCCAGAGGGAACACGGAGCTCTGTGATACCGCGTCTGTGAGGAAGCCACTTGAATTAGTAACATCTCACTTCTCAAAAAGCCTGCAGATTTGCTAATCAAGCTTCCTCAAAATTGAGTGCAGGCTTACTGATTTATGGCCTTTTAAGTTTTTTTCCCATTCCAATGAGGAACTTGAGAATGTAATCCGGGCGAATATTTATGACCAGAATCAGATTGCTAATTTCACCAAATATAAAATTTGGCATTGCTTATTTTGCATTAAACTAGCTGTCCTTAAACAGATTTGTAAATAATGACATTTCTCACTTAAACTTATAAGGTTAGACTTACAATCAAGTTCAAATGTTATTTTCATCAAAAGCTGTAAGCGATACCTTTAACACAAGGTCATTTTGCCCAAGCCTAAACCAGTACGTTTACATTTCAGTAATATAAAGCATAGGTGCCAAATACGATCAACAAGGCTGGGGACATAAGAACATAAACACCCCTGGTTTAAGAAACAAGACACCTTCAAGTTTTTTGCTTTCATCAAGCTTAAGAAGTCTCTACAAAAAAGGGATAAATGAATGTTATAAAATACTTCCTTTGCTGCTAGAAAGCATCATTACCACAGGTAAGAAACAGGTAAAGTCGATAAGGGACAGTAAATTCTGAAATGTTAAAAGAAATTGGTTCTGCTCATGCTGAGAGCAGAAAACCATGAATGTAGTGATACTAAATTCACTTTATTTGTTCAGTTTAAATCACACCAGAAGCCCCAGTTTTCATAGAATCCCTGGACCATTACTGACACCCACTGGAAAAGGTAGGTACTGCAGAAAGCTGAAGCCCAGAGAGCCAGGTTTTCTGGTCTTCCTTTTACCTGAGCCATTCAGGACCTAAATGAACTCATTATTTGGACAACAGTTGGACTGAGTGAAGTATTTCTTTGGTCTTAATAAGATGGAAAGTTAGAGAGACCTATAAAATTCTCTATTATTCTTCAAATTAATAAAACTGGTTACATGTAAGAGAGTTACAAAATATCTTATATGCATTTCTATGAAAAATATTTAGCTTAATAACAATTCATTATTTTCTTAATTTATATCATTATGAATCATTATTAATGATTCATTTTTACGGATACCTTCTAATGTTTGAATATATGACACACGAATGGTCACAAATTAGCCAACTCTTGAATCTGATCTAAATCTTTTTTTTATTTCATCTGCTGCTTCTACAGTGTTTCACAATTCACAGATTTTGAAGTAATCCACAAACTTGATTAGTTTACTCACTATGCCAGAATCTCGATCATTGATATAAATCAGGAAGAGCAGTGGTCCCAGTACAGATCCCTGTGGTACACCACTAATTACCTCAATCAAACCTCAATCAAACACTGTTACAATGTTTCAAATCATTAGCAAATTTACAGCCCTATTCTACCCTTTGTTCAGGAATTTGGAGCACGTTCAGGCATGTAGAGAAAGTGTTATTCCTAAATTAAGCCAAAATAAATATGACTTGATCTGAGATTTTATGTAAATTGTCAAAAACATGGGTGATATTACATACTGTGAATATTCAAGAGCACATAAAAACTTTTGCAGTCTTCATTAATGTTAAAATAATGACTCTTGTATTCAAAATATAAAAATGAATGGCTGTTTACAATCACCTGACAGTCTTGCCAGCTTGAGTAGAAAGAAGAGTCTCTATGAGCCTCTGGTGAAGTTAAAAGCTGCTCACAAACTAAATGTCACTTCGCACAGCACTGGTTAAGTAGTGAGGTCACTGACCCGTGTTACTATTTTAAAACCAAAGATATCCATGTCTAGCATGCAAGGAATTCAGCTTGGTTTCTAATATTATTTGTCCTCCAAAGGTCACTGTGTTCTAGTACAAAGGCCACATTTATGTTCAAGTGAAACTGCTACTGATGTCATTTAATGAGAGAAGTGTTTGCAACACATCAGAAAATAAATGGGTTGTTTATCAAGTGCCCATCGAAAGTCCAAGCTGATTTGTTCTGTACTTTTAGTTGAGATTTTCCTTTTGAGGAAAAAAGAGCAGAAATGTTGAAAAATCACTTTCTTCACCCCTTTTTCCCTGGTATCATTTTCATATCTTCCCTTGTTTTTGTGTACGATTAATTGCAATGTTCTCCTCTTTTCAGCCCCTGCAGAAACAGACCAGCAGTCACGCTATTCAGCTCAGTTGTCACAGAACGATCTGCTGTAACCTACTAGAGATGGATGGTTTTCACTGTATTTCCTGCAACAAGAATATACCGAAAGAAAAAACGAAAGGGGGAACAGCATTTTAGCCCATCATATCTTCTATGTAACTGTGTCTAATCGATTTCTCAGTGCAATTAGATGTCACAACATTACTTCTGTTGCTGGGTATAAAATTCTGAATACACATTTTTATTAAATGCTATTTTGATTGAACATTTCATTATGCTTTCATCCCTGACATGGTTCTCCCTGTATAATTTTTTTTCTGTGTTATCTGGGACTGATAATGGGTGGCTGGTTTGTGGTCAATTCCTCTGTTCCACCAACTTGGCCAGTTGCTAAGATACCGAAACCAGAAGGGGGCTCGACTCAGCCAGCCTCGCTCAGCTTGCATGAGGAGGCAGTGCAGACAGATGCTGTAGTGCAGTGGGCTACCTCTCAGACAATACTCTGCTCACAGCCCACTGGCACATGGGAGCAATGAGCCCTTACAACTCATAATAATTAATAATAATGGCTTACACATATAACAGTGCTTTTCTGGACACTCCACTCAAAAGCGCTTTACAGGTAATGGGGACCCCCTCCACCACCACCAGTGTACAGCCCCACCTGGATGATGTGACGGCAGCCACAGTGCACCAATACACACCCCACACACCAGCTCTCAGTGGGGAGGAGAGCAGAGTGATGAAGCCAGGCCAGAGATGGGGATTATTAGGAGTCCAGGGGGAAATTTGGCCATGACGCCGGGGTTACACCCCTAGTCTTTATGAGGAACACCCAGGGATTTTTAATCACCACAAAGAGTCAGGACCTCCGTTTTACGTCTCACCTGAAGAGCACCATACTGGGGCACTAGGACCCACATGGACCGCAGGGTGAGCGCCCCCTGCTGGCCCCACTAACACCTCTTCCAGCAGCAACCTGAGCTTCTCCCAGGAGTCTCTCCTCCAGGTACTGACCAGGCTCACACCTGCTGAGCTTCAGTGAGCTGCAGGGTGATAAGGTTGCTGGCTGAGACTGAAAAAATGTAATGTTGTGACATCTAACTGTGTCAAACGCTGCAGTTTGTGAGCCTCTTTGGCTGCTGTACTACCCTCAAGCGATTCCGAGACGACTGGATGCTGCACAACTGCAATAAAAAGGTAAAGCATTCACAGCACAGCGCACAAGGCAGAAACGGCTGCCGGTCCTGACCTGCGACACCGCGTAGTTCTTGTTCTCCCAGATTCTCCTGGCCTCCGCCTTCTCCTGGGCGCTCAGCAGCTGCGGAGCCGGGACCCCCCCGGTGCGGCGGGTGTCCGCCAGCCTGGTGACCAGCGCCCAGAGGCGGGCCTGCCAGCGCAGCACCCCGGGAATGGCGTCCGCTGGAAGACCGTCAGACAGGAGACGTGTTCCCGCGGTGCCAGGCGCGACAGACCTTTCCCGCTGAGACCCCGGGCTGAGCTCTCGGCGCGGCACTGTGTGACCCGACCCGCCCGCGGTGCCGTCCCGTCACAGCTCAGAAATCTACAGACTGGGCTCCCTGGCTTTACTGTTATTACTAAGTAAGAAGAATAATAATTTCCTGTGATAGTACTGGAACAAACACTGTCACAGGAAAGAGGGACTGCTGAGAGACACGACAGGAACTGCACTTTCTTTACATTTTGGAGGAAGGCTCTTCGCCCAAACCACCCTAGTGAACCATCCAGCTGTACAACAGCGTCTAAATGTAATTCGCTTTGTATAAAAGATTCAGCTGAGTAAACGAGTAATTAGACCCTCCCCACAAGCTCCCCGGTGTCTTTCTGGACCAGCTCGCCGCGAGCCTGGCAGTTCGGGAGGTTCGACAGCCTCTCACCAGCGGGCAGGCGGCGGAACTGCCCCCACACCCCCAAACGAAAACGGCGCTCTCACTCTTGACATCCCAGAGGATGTCCTGCTCGGGCGGGCCGGCGTAGAGGATGTACAGGCGAACGGTGTCGATCCCGTACTGCTTCACCACCTCCTGCGGGTCCAGGCCGTTGTGCTTCGACTTGCTCATCTTCTCCCAGGTGACCTGCAGCTTCCTCCCCGTGCCGGCCTGCACGGGCTCTGGGCCTGGAAGACGAGGGGCGCAGCAGGGGGGTCAAGGGGGGTTTACAGCCCTGCCCAGGCTTGTGCAGCACCACAGAGCACAGGGGGCCCTATCCTGCTGGGGTCAGGTGACCTCCGGGCTGGAAGCCGCTGCTCAGCTTCACTACTCTGGCGATTCAGGAGCTGGCCGAAGTCTCCATCAGTGGCTGATGTCAAGACGCGCCGAGAGCCTGCAGGCTTACGGCTCCTGTTCGAGTATGTTGATTGCCTGGCAGGGTGGTATAAGGTGCTCTGTAGGTACAGGACCATCTTAAAGCAAACTGTACACCCCTTAAAAAAGGACTAGAATCACACATTTGGCATGTACAGTACCTGAAAATTTACTTTAAAGTATGTGTTAGTACCACACACTATAAAGTAATAGTAAGATTCGAAATCATAAAAGAAGTAAGACACTCTTGGCTTAAAGAAGCAGGATTTTTAGATGCTGTTCTGGAGAAAACTGAAATAATTCAGTTGGTAACAATAATCTACATACATTTTTGCCAGGTTTACACAACCTGATTTTCCTTATTTCTGTTAGAAAATTAAACACTGGATCTGAAACACTGTATCTGTGCGAGTGCAAGCTTTCAATTCTTAGAACTACAATAAATCGTGAATATTTTAAGATGTGACATTCATACACCATGCTCAGATTAGCCTTAAATTACTGGTGATATTTTGTCAGTAGGTAAACCACATACATTTAAAGGCATAAATCTGTTTTATTTTTCACAATAATTTTTAATCAATCCCTTCTTTTTCCCCATAATACTATTATATTACTGGCACAGCTGTGCTCTTTCTTTGCTCCTCAGAAGCACGACAAAAAGCACCGTTCCGTAATCAGAGTCTTGCTGTTCCTTATTGTGTTGCTATTAACCGAATCATACCCTTCATTAAAACATGAAAAAGATAATTATGTCCTGTCTGGTTGCCTTCTCTACAGAACACAGTAATTACTTATTAACTCTATTTATACAACATTTAAAAAATTACGATTTGGCTTATATTACAAATGCAGATACAGCCATGGGCTTTTGTCACAGGTTTGTTAATAATACTAAACTGAATTAAAAAAGTAAATGGAAAACTCGAACACATTTCTCATAACTTGAGCTGTCCTTTTAGCATGTAAACCACAAAGGAATACTGAACCAATACTGATTGCTGCAGCTGCTTAGATACAAGGAGCTAATTTTGCTACTCATAAGCTGATGCAGTGATTACTGCACAATGTGATCATGAACTTTAATGTTGGCATCACCATCTAAGCATGACTACCACTGCCCTGTTCTTTTCAGGTTCACACACTAACGTGCTGTCAGCACATTCTTGTGCAGGGAAAAATGCAGCACGTTGCACAGTAAATCCCTCTCAGGGTAGATTCCTCTCTTTATTCCCCAATGATCAATGCAGTTTAACCACATTAGACAGTCCAATCAAAGTCTGATCACTGGGCAACACTTCACCACGACTCGTTCGGAAACAATCGAAAAAGTATAAGAGGATACAAGTGGAAGCTACGGGGAAGAGCATTTAAAACCGAGAACAGGGAGGCACATTCCTATCAGAAGGGTTGTGGGGGTCTGGAACAAACTACCCAGCCAAGCTCCTGAAGCTGAAGCAGAAACCCTGGCTTACTCTCAAGAAAAATTTGTATGAGGTGTTGGACCGACTATCCTAAATTCCAAACAAGCTTAATTGGCAGGAAGGCCTCCTCTCGTAGACTTTCCTATGATCTTATGTCTCGTCCTCCAGATCACAGTCACAGACCTTGCAGAATCCATTTCTGCTGGAATCATTAAAACTTTCCATGAATTACTTGGGAAGCAAGTAGTTTCTGCCTGGTGGCTGTCTTAAAAAATGTTGTTTTTTCTCCTTTTTGAGAAAATATTTTATGAAGTAATTTTGCTGCTTACATCATCTAACAAGGGCAAAGAAACTCATTCGAGAGTTTTTTTAAAAAAAGAACATTTTGAAAATGTTTTTTCTCAAGATTACCTGACTCCTCTAGGCTCAAATGTACACAAAATTCACAACATACTAAATGCCATCCAGCATAAAACATGATCACCCAGTGTAGCGATCATTCGCGCATATAATCGTTTCAGAAATTCACACATAATATTAGATATATGTTTTTACTAGATACACTCCAACTAAAGTACACTTAACAGTCCTGGGAATGTTAAAGATGCCCTGCTTGCTGTAATATCGTGGCTTGATGCAGTAACTTATCTGAATCTGAATTTGTTCAGATATTTCAAACAGCAAATATAGCTCTCATTTTCGGCTGCTGTTATAGCATAACTTAAGAGCATGTTTATCCTGTTGCTAGACAACTGACAAACCAATTCCAGTAAGAAAAAACAATCTACACTGATGGAAAAAAACAAATCAACTATTTTTCTTTTTTAAGTGTCAGTTACTAACTCAATTTTATATGACCTGGGAGATGGGAGCTTAAGAAAAAACATCCATGTTTGTTTGTTTTAAATCTTTTTTTTCTTTCCACTTTGGGCAAAAGCAGTAAGCACATCCGAGAGACGAATCAGGATGAGCATGACCATGGATTTGGCCAGCGTGCTTTCAGGCTCACTGTCCAAGAAGTAAGGTTATGAATGAGAAGTCAGTGTTATGAAAAATAGAACAAATCTCTAACTGGGAGCCAGTAACATTCAAATGTTTGGAAACACCCTATACAGAGTGGTTAGGGAGAACAATATTGTCCATTTGTCTTCACTGCGATCCATACACCCCCTGAAGTGATGACTGTCTACTTTTCTGCAAGACACCACACACAACGATAGGGAAATTCAAGTCTAACGGCAGCCTCATGCATCATCCTTTCATGAGGAAAGCTGCTTAAAAAGAAAGGGGTAAGTGAGTTTGCCCAGATATTCAATTTAAGGTACTTAATGTCTGAAAATGCTTCCTTTCTCCAGTACATTGTACTAGACAATATGGGTGGCTCTTACTTACTGGTTTATTGACTACTTTTCACACTCGAATATTTGTCTCTTTCAAAATTTGCCACAGATATTGATGAGGCCGCTGTCTGATACATGTTAAGGTCCCATATCTGCCATGCGTTTACTTGGGAAGCTGTACAAGTGGGGAAAAGGTTGCTCTGCTTTCTTACAAATCATGCTAGAACTCACATCTGAGCAGCCCCTTCTGGGAAGGACTGGACTGCACAGTTTTACCCTCCCGAGAAACGGGGAACTCTGTACCCTCGGCCCCGGATGCTGCCGCACCCGGGCCGGGCTCACCTGAGAAGTCGACGTCCTCTCTCCTGAGGTACTGCCCGCTGTCTGCCAGCCGGAAGGTCTGCCCTTTGATGAGGCCCTGGACCAGCAACTTGTGAAAAGGCTCCCTTCCAAAGACAACAGAACCCCCAGTCTCCAGTCAAACACCACTGAGATCGCAGCTAAATCCCCCAGCCACAAGCGCCAGGCAAACTGCAGCACGTGGCACTAGTGTTTTAACTGCTGCTCTGAATCTACAGTACATTCACGGCAAATCACTGCCGTGTATACCAAACCACAAAATAAAATCAGCTGCGATTCTGGTTTTCTTCCTGTCCTCCGACAGACCGTTTTGGTTCTCATCTGTAGGAATAACTTGCGTAAAAAAATGCAAATTATTTTCACATTTTACAGGCAGTTAAAAGCTCGTCTCCATTTCTGCAATGCGGTCACACGGTCATGGGATGTTCAAAATGTGATTATCATTTGACATCAAAGCCAACGTCAGATTAATGAGTAGAGCGATGAACGATTTCACTGTACCTGTGTGAAACCAAGTTCTTGTCTCTGCAGAAGTGGCTGAAAAACCTGGCATAATACAAGTGCATGACAGCATGCTCCTTGCCTCCGATATATAAATCCACAGGCATCCAGTAATCCGCAAGAGACCGATCAAAGGGCCTAAAGAACGAAAAGAGTGAACATTTTCTGCATGAAACAGTAAACTATAGCAAGGAAGGAAAGGCCAAAAAAGCATCACGTTAACAAAAAGTGAAAATAACTTCTGAAAATCTCGGTCAGGCTGATATTAGTTTGCTTCAGTATAGTATGACATTCCTCCACACCAGAGAGGCTATGGAACCAGTCTGACAGCATGATTCCCAGGTGAGTGCACTTGCAATGTTAGCAGAAACACTGCCCACAGCTACAGCAAATATTTATTTTTGCTGCACAGTCGAACATATGCATTTGTGATTAGGAGGTTATTATGAATAATATGTACGGTATAATACAGTGATTTTATTTGGAGTTCTATGGCAGGACAACTCAGATATAAGGATCACTGGAGGGTTTGGCCACCACAGTGAACAAAACACACTATAAACACTAGAGGACAGTCTTGCACCAAAATGAGCAGGACTAAGCTACAAAATCTTAGTCTATCTACCCGGCATCTAGGAGGGTTGACATTCATCAATTAAAATCTGAGGACATACCATACAGTAATAGGAATAGAAAACCACCCCGAAGGGCTTAATAAGGCACCACAGCAGACTGAACTCTAATCCTATGCTAATGGAGCACAGGCAGCCTGCACCAACGGTACCCTCCACATCAAACCCAATGCACTGAGACCCAATAAAAATTGATTAAAAAACTATGTGGAAGGGAAAGGAAACTGCACAGAAGTCACAGATGAAGAACTATCAATGGCGCCGTGCAGTTTAAGCAGGATCTTAATGCTTACCTCTTGTGGCTCACTGCACTGAAATGGGCAGATCACTGAAGATGAGCCACATGGCCACTATTGCATGTTAAATGACCCCGGAGATCCTCTTTCCACCTCTCACTCAGTCCAGCCAACTATACTGCCTGTCCTTACTAAAATCAACAGATTTCCCTGGCTCTGTACAGCTCTCCCATCTTTGTTGTTGTTTATTAACCTGGATCCTGAATTGTGTAACAGCTTTTCTAATGTTACATAATCTTCCCGGGAGTGAAGGTGAAACCAGGCTCACTTAGCCGTCAGCTAAACCAGATTTAAACAAAGGTCACCGAAAGCATAAAAAACTCGGAACGCTTATGAATTAATCCCCCCATATCAGGCTCTTCATCTGACTTGTGCTGTCAGAGATAATGAAGATGAGTTCCTCATCTCCGCAGCCAGATTTTCCCCATAGTGGATTAAAGGTGCCCAGGCCACAAATACGTCTCCTGTCTCTGCTGCCTAAAATAAAGGTGCATCACGTACGTGCAGTTTATACTGCTGTTACCAAATCAGTTATTACCGAGAGACTGTTGTGAAGTCTTCAAGGAAGCACTACAGGAAGGCCATGAGCACCGTCAGCTGAGCCCTGTCCCGAGTCCCGTGCCTGGCCTGGGCTGGCCTGATCCTTACCTCTGACCGTTGTGAGGGTCGGTGTATCTGAAATAGTACCAGGCAGAGTCGACGAACGTGTCCATGGTGTCGGTCTCTCTCCTTGCGGGGCCGGCACACCTTGGAGAAAGAGGCCCATCTGTGATCACCGCCAGCGCCCGACTCATCAGTCGTCCGACCACCTGCTCCCACACCAGTGTGGGCGGAGGTGCGCTCCACACATACTCCTCTCGGGACGAGTCCCAGCTGGGGCAACGCTGCTTTGCGATTCGCACGCCTTGACACTAGTGACCTGCTTCCCACCCGAGACGGAAGGGACTGAACCAGCTTTCCACACGCCTGCATGAGGCTTGCAACGTGAGGCCACAAATTCTATTAAAAGTGATCTGCATTTACGTAGCACTTTTCGCCCCGGGAGATACCACAGCGTTTTATGACGTATGCAGAAGGGGACCAAATTCATCCGTGACTGGCTCAGCCGCCACCTGGGAGACGAGTGGCAGCCATCGAGTGTGAGCAGCACCACGGTATGGTGGGTCAGGCAGGGAAACGACCTCGACCGCGGAATTAAGGGAGAGTTTAAGTGAGGTCAGACTGTGCAAGCCTAGAGTAGAATTTAACCAGGACAGAGGCACCACTCGCACTCTTAATAACAGTGGCATCTTCAGCCACCAAGTAGTCGGGAGTCTGGTTTAACGTCTCCTCTGAATGACTGCGCCCTCTAGATCGTGGTGCCCCTGGTTATCGCACTGGTGCTCCGGCTCCGGAGGTTCTGATCCAGTGGGAAGAGTGCCGCTAGCTGGCAGCCGTCAGAAAAACGTTCAGTAAGGTTCCTGGCGACCAACCCGTTGTTGTCGTTGCTATATCGCTACGCTGACATAAAAAGCTTTTTTCGGCCCCTTAATCTTTAATTAACCAGCAGCGAAACACCCTGCTCGTGTCAAGGGACTAGGGCAGAGCTCCACTCGAACACAAAACAAAACAATTAAGCAATGCAATTAATTATCAGACTTTTCAGGAACAAATCTTCTCCTATAACAATTAACATACAAAATCAGTCTCTGTTGTCTTTTATTTTAATTCAATTAGGAACCCATTAAAACGTTCTCATAATGCGACAGTAGAGGCCATGACACAACCCTTTTGACCTGTATAATCTCTACGGCTAACCTGCAAAGCAGTTACATTATTCTCTTTACTGGCAATATCCAATTCACTGTGCATTGCCTTTACATAACTAAAGGGCCTTGAGGTTGCTTAGCAACCAGTAGGTGTAGCAGTTTAACTCTTTCAAGCCTTAACAGTTGTTTATACAATGAGACAAGTGTAAAAGAAGGAAGAGTCGTGGAAAAAAAAAATTGAAACTACAAATTCCTAACAAAAAACTACTTCCCCTAAATAAAAGTTACAAAGCAAAATGTATTTTTCTTAAAGCTGTGACAACGGGGGGATCTGTGCCTGTGGCTGGAAGGTTGCTGGTTCAAATCCCGCAGCCGGCAGAGGAATCCTACTCCATTGGGCCCCTGAGCAAGGCCCTTAACCCCAACTGCTCCAGGGGCGCCGTATAAATGGCTGACCCTGCGCTCTGACCCCAGGCTCTCTCCCTGTCTGTGTGTCTGTGTCTCATGGAGAGCAAGCTGGGGTATGCAAAAAAAGATGAATTCCTAACGCATGAAATTGTATAGGGCTAATAAAGCATTATCATTAATTTGGAGCTAGTGAGCCAGCTACTATTAAATACTCTGGTTTGAATCAGTTTGACTAATAAATTCACTTTTAAAAAAATAACTTTTGCTGGAGACACGTAAACCTTCTTCTTTACTGCACTGCCTGAAAAGAGGCAGAAAGACGTACGTCAGGGCGAGGGAAGGGAATCCTTTATTTGAACAAAACGCTATCTCCCCTCTCTTCACAGAAACCCCCTGTGCTGCAGCATCTCATGTCGCAGCTTTTGTACGTTAGACATCCTTTAAACTAAAAAGCTGATGCTTTTTTTTTTTTTGCTTGCTTTATGCATTTTGGGATTTCCACTCTTCTTGTATAGATGTGTTGCTAATGGGTGCCGGAAGAGTTCAGACTTTGCACGTTTTGACAGGACACATTTATTCAGATTAAGCTGCCTGCAGTCTGTCCTCCCCAGCAGACAGGGCTGTGTTCCCAGTGGAATAACAGCGACAGTACGCTCAGCAGTCAAAAGAGATAAAGAAACCGCAGGACAAGTGGAAAACTCCCAGTGACTCCAAAGTGACTCCTCGATAAGCACTCTCAGTAGACATTCTGCTTCTTCAGTTTTATTTTAGGTACTCATTTCTTACACGGAAATCAACCTTTGCCCCAGACTGAACAGATTCATATTGTTTTCAGTTCCGGAACATTCCCAGAGCGCCAATTTCTTTTATAGCATGGTTACCAAAAACCTGATGCGTTATCATAAATCAAATGGCTGGAGTACTATCGTTTTAATATCACCTCCCTTGATTTCAACTGACGGTGATGATTTTTGAAACAGCGAGCAGAAGCTTGCGAGAAAAGCCAAGCAAACAGTTAATGCGTTTGGTTAAGCCACACACAATCCAGCCACAAACACAAAAATGTGTGTGTGTGTGTGTGTTTATTAGGCATTTCATGCTTATAATTTTGTGCAGACTAAAAATACAGAGGGCTGTCATATGAACCAGTTCCAGGAACAGACTGTATGTTCACCTTCACAGTGGATAATTTTATTTATGAGCGCAGTCGCGGGGAAGGGAAAGTTATGCAATGAAGTGCGAACGCTAGGCCTGAGCCCCGCAGGCAGATGGGCGAGAAACCCTGCCAAGCCGCTCCGTGCTCGGAGCCCGGTCAAGGTGAGGGACCTGCTTACCCAGACAAGGTCCTGATCTGGGGTTTCAACACCTGCCCTCGCAGGAACTTCAGGTCTGTTTCCTGAAACGAACAGCCTGCGCTAATTCTTGGGGACTGCGGCAGACCTCCCTTGTCGTGGTAGTGTGGCGAGCTGTAACCTTTAACCTTTAATGGTGAAAGCAGGGCTGGGGCCGGACCAACTCTGTGTGAGAACCTTCCTCCTCTGACTGGACACGTAACCCACCTTTGCCTCACCCTACAGCTTCCTCCGTTAGCCTGCCCTTTGTGCAGCGCGACACTTCTCCCTCCTAACCTTGGCACTGTTAAGGCAAAGGAATAAATAATCTAGGGGAGACCGAATCTGCTTCTCCCTACAGCGAAAAATTCATCTTTTCCCGGGCCGAACTGTAACCCCTTCACTGGTCTACCTTCACTTAACTTCAACTGGTCTGGCACCGTCACAGACGACGGAGAGACAGGGTTATTGCGTGGCAGGGATCTGACATGTTCGGCTGCACCTCCCACCCTTGCATGCGTTCAGTGGTTTAAGCAGAGGGTTTCATTCTAAACATATTGACGGACAGACTCAGAATCATCTCTCACACCTGTAACTATTTACAACATAAACTTACAACGATCTGGACTATGACTTTCCAAAAAGCAGCCCAGTCACAATACTGATCCAAAACTGCATGGCAGGATAACTATTGTATAATGACCAAAACTGACTACATGTCTATCCGGGTAACCTAAAGCATGAGGCAATGGCGTAGGAGTTACCAAACACTAGGAATACGTGCAGACTGACAGGCTTACAATGATAGCACCGCAATTACAGTCATCACTATGGACAGGAGGAAGGAGATGTTAATGTGTAAAAACTTAAGTCCCTCATTAAAAACAACATGATAAAAAATAATGCGTGAGGTTTTACTTTTGAGCCTTTTCTTCATAACAGCCTACGCAAATCTCTGTCACACTGCCATAATCACTGAACAGAGGATGAAGACTACTCATCTTAAACCACAAAACAGCTGTGATGGGGTGGGTAGGTTATCCTGAAAGTATTGAGCCACAAGAAGAAAATGAGAGAACTGATTGTTTTTGCCTTGATAGCCCTTGTAGAACAAAGGCACCAGAGTTACTTCACTCCCTTGACCCAGGGAATCATTTTCCACGTTTTCCAAGAATTAAGTGTAGCTCCTTTTTTTATGTAGATTATATTTTTTTTGACAGATTTTTTTAAAAAAAGCTGTTTAAACTACAGTGCTTGGCTGGAACGCAAAAGAAACTGAGATTTGTTGTTGGAAAGGACTTACTTGTTTCATAAGGCGTGAGAAATCAATGTTTCCTAAAATGGATAAAAGAATCTGCACTGCATCTTTTCAATAGAAATTTTGATATTTCTTGAGGAAAAGCTCATGCTATTGTCTTGGACACCACTATCTCTGCCCTGTACTGACTTTGTGGTATTTCTCATTCGGCCTTAGAATCAGCTACTGCCGTTGCTGCACTACTAGAGAAAAAAGGACAGCTTGGCCTTTTTTCAAGGCCAAGTGCACATAAGTAAGCATCAGGTCTGAACAAAGTCAGAAATGTCCAAATTCAAAATGCAATCTCTCAATTCATCTAAAAACCCTGACAAAAACAGTGCTTATCACACCTGTAACACACAGCAGACTATATTTTCTGTCTGCCTGTCTGCCTGTCTGCCTGTCTGCCTGTCTGCCTGTCTGCCTGTCTGCCTGTCTGTCGCAGACTGCACTGTGGAAAGTGAGTGGAAACCTGCAGCGATTCAGATTCCCCGCACAATATGTAAATGGCAATCTTTCAAGCGCAGCACGTCTGAATCTGTGATTGCAGTTCTACATTGATCGACAGTCACAGGCCACTGAGCACTGAATTGTTTTTTAGTGAATTGCTCTCCCAGCACTCATTTCTTTCGGTAACGCCAGACAGCAGGAATAGCTTAATATGCTGTTACCACTACCACAAAGCTGATATTGTATCAAATACAAAAAAAAAACATTCTAATAACCCCAGGGTTAATACACTGCAGTTACTGCTACAAAACAGGAACGTACAGCACTGGGACTCACTGATGAAAAACCAGCAGTTAAATGCAGTGTCTATCTCTGACACTACTGTAGGAACAATGTTCTATTCCAACAAAACAATTCCAGCGAATGTTACGTCCTACACTTTGCGCTTCTACAGACATCCATAAATACCTACACAAAATTGTTAAACATTTTAACCTGTATGGAACTGGTTTATTTCACATCACAAAAACATTTTAAAGCATTTATAGCATCTCAGTGGAGAAATTCTGTCACATCTTTCTTTCCAATGATACACGAACAAGATTGATTTTCTGTGCGTGAACCATATGTGTTATGCTATTAGCTTTAAACGAGCACAGAACAGTACGGGTCCACAAAATAGCATATTCCCATCTCCCGCTGTTGGTGGCACCTTCTTCTGAGACATACTGTATACGCAAGGGACTAGCTTCTAAAAAAAGGACACTTTGTGAGGAAAAAAAGTGATTTACACATAAATGTAGAAGCAAATTCCGTCGTTTTGCCCCTGAAATGCAATAGATTACGTGTTATGTGTAGACAACCACGTCCCCAGGGGGAACACCACAAGAATGCACCGCAAAACAGAGGCGCAGAGAGGCAACAACAAAACAGGACCCAGGAAGCCAAAACCGACCCTTCAAGTCCTGGCAAGAGCGAAGACGATCTCATTAAAAAATATGCGCTTGAGTATGAATCTCTTTATGCCTCCAAACTGCAGACACACCTGTAAGGAGTTCATCATTCTGGAAATTAGAAGAGTGGACATGCGATGTGTCCCGTGATTTTGATTAATCTTTCTACTAAATGCCAAATTATAATTAAGGATGTAATTATAGCACGAAGATGCAATCTACAGTGTCTGAGGGGATCACTAATATAAATTAAACCCTGAAGTCTATACAGAGAGATTGGGTTTCTTCAAGCTGATGCCAAATACCGAAGTTCCAGGATTTAACCAAGAAGCGCATGCAAAACAAAGGAGTAGAAATAGCATCGAAATTTGGCAGTCAGGCCTCCCACAGATCTTTGTCATATTGCAGAACTGCAACTTTAATATGCAGCTGATTCCCTTAGCATATGAATTTTAAAATTCTAGCATGCAATCTATCCCAGTGCCCTGTCAAAATATTATTACAATTGTTTGCTTTGATCGCATGTATAGGGGAATAAATCTCAATACCAAGACAAAAGTATTCAACCAGCAGCATTGGGAATTTGGGAAAGCAAAGTTAAAATTATTTTTACTTGTTTAACTCAAGATTCCAAAGGTCTCAGGTCCTAATGAGAAATAACAGCACACGAAAGAGTGCCACACTGACATAATCCTATATAACTGCTATCTACAGTATAGATGACATTAAGTGACATGGAGAAAACCAGAACGGACCGCCCACTTCCCTCAGAGATCTCCTCACTCTTGTACAGGCGTGTCGCTACCCTGACTGTCACTGGACTGCATAATATAAAATGCAAATACAGCACAGAACCCCCAGCCAAATGAATACATCTGGATGTCAGAACGCAGAAGGAACTGTCTATCAGGCGTAGGAAAGAAATCTGAAAATATACTGTATACCTAAGGCTTGTCACAGACTCCAGAAGAGCAACTGTGAAATATATCTGGCAAGGTCTTTCCATCTGAAGTCTTGTTGGGCCAGATATGGAAACCACACAGGACCTGCTTTTCTCAAGAGCGTGAACTCTTCCAGTTCTTGGACAAAGGGGGAAAACAGTCTTATTTTTTCTGTATCCCTGCCATCTCCGATGGACTCCAAACATGAGAAGGTGGTAGGTTAGAAAAAGTTAACAGCTGTTCTGTGAAATGCATTCCCCAGGTAGCTGTGGGGAATGACATGCTGTCTTTCACCAACTGGTCGGGTGACAGTCTAAAAACTAGGAAGCAGAGGCTCATAGGGTCAGTCAATATCTGCTTTCTGGAGTGAGACAGCAGATACTGTATTCTGCAAGTGAACCAGAGGTACAGAGGGAAGGAGGGAACTGACAGACCAAGCGAGTGATGGACAGAACTTTAACTGTGAATTTTGGAGAAGAGTCTCAGACAGAGATGTACGTTTTAGAGCCAGTAAGCAACTAACTAAGTGATCTTTTACAGCGGGGTACTATAAAAACAAGAAAGATTAGTATCTGGCAACTCTTACTCCTGGTTACCATCCTGATGTGCCGTGTTTCAGTCTTCCAAAACAGTAAGAGGAGACCGGCAGGGCAAAGGTAGTCATCGTTACAGCCGATGATGCATCACAAATCGAAGACCGATTACTACACAAATTATCTGCTCCTGGAAACCAGGCAGATTCAATATCATGCTCCAGAGACTTCCCTTTGCTGTGCGCTGCGAGTGGCTGCCAGCCTGGCCTCCCGGGAGACTCTGCCTCTAGAGCCTGACATCCCCAGAGATGCTGGAGTGAATGTTCTTCACATTAACCCACAGCTCCCTTCACCCAAAGAAAAAACAGTACGTTCCACCTGCGGTGCGAAACTTTGGGTTTTCTTCGTAACTACAGCGAAAGGCCTGATACACATGCTTCAGAACTCCTTCCCGTGCCCGAGAGAAACAAAAGACAGCCGCTTGCAAAACCAAGTGACAAATTAAGTCATTCTTTTAGATGCTCGTCGTGGAGGTACAGTACCACAATAACTACCGAGGTGACGTCACCCGAGGGACCACAGTGCAAAAGTGCAACTGGTCCGGAAACCCAAACCAGGAAAGCAGCTCGAGACGTACTGTAGCACGGTCCCTAAACAAAGCCGCTTTGTTCTTCAAGGGCGCTGAGCGGAGATGAGCAGGTACTCACCGTGGGCAGCGGCAGTGGACCCACTGCAGGGCCGACTCCAGAGGGGAGGCTCCCTTGCCAGTGAGGGAGCTCAGCCTGGGCAGCAGGACGGGCAGCTCCTCCGCCGGCACAGGCACGGGCCCGCAGGACTGGCAGTGGATGATGGGAATGGGCGTGCCCCAGGACCGCTGACGCGAGATCAGCCAATCCCTGAGCTTGGAACTGCTGAGGTGGCCGCCGACATCTCGCTCTCTAGCCCGCTGTGTTATGGCGCTGAAGGCATCGGCCGTGTTGAGGCCTGTGAACTAGAGGGGAGCAGGTTTATCGCAGATTGTAGCGGTTTTTGGTGGAAAGGGAAAGCGAAACGACACTTCTTCAGCATTGTCTGGTGAATTTATCATGGACCTACAGTGCTTTTTGTGTGATTGCATTCTGTGCTCCGCTTGTGAGTGGCGTACATAACCACTTGGCTCCAAAACCTCGAGGGATCTGTTGCCCCAAGAGTAAACCTGCGCTCTCATTACAAAGACAAGCGGTAATAGTAACTGTGACAGGCGTTATTGCTGTTTCAAACGAGAAGACATTAATGGGCTCTCCCTCCTTCAAAACTGCAGAGCAGCTAGAAACCACGAGACTGAGATTTCCCCCTGCGCTCATTTCTTCACAGGGCCACTTATAAAGAAGAATCAGTAAAACAAACCACACACCGCAACAGGAACAGGCACACTTAATGAATTTCTAGAACTGACTTCAATAAAACCTTTCATTGATCCACATTAATTCTTTGATTCGTTTTATGCTTTTGCGTAGGGAAAGCTTAAATAATTCAGAGGCCTTTATTAAGGCAAAATGAAGAGTTCCTAACTACCTGCTTCACTCGGTGCATTTGGTGTCGTAATGTGTTTGAACTATCAGGACACTAGTTTCACAGATTCAGTGAAATGTTTTATTGCGTTTTACAGAAAACATAATGCATGGCTAGTATATATATACAGTATTCCACAGCAAACCGAGACCTGACACTAACCTTCATGGGCCTGTGTCTGGTTCACCTGGATCAAAACAGCAGCACGATGCCGAACTGGACTGATGTGTTTATTAAATTAAAAATAATAAACGAGCGAAAAATTCAGGGAAGCAGAAGGGCTGATGGGACCTACATGTACCGCACATGGTCCTCTTCACTCTGTCCACTCTCCCCTCTATTGTGTTTCATTGGCAAACAGATTCATTTTCCAAAACTCACCCTTGGCTTTTAACTACTCATACCATGTCTTCTTACTCAAAAATCCCGTCCACACAGCAGCTCCCTGCAACATCATCATGGCCTGATACAGCTTCAAAATCATTCAGTACCACCCAAATCAAATCTCACAACTTGTTAACAACCCCAGACACTGTCAGTGAACCACAACTTCCATGGGACTATGTCGAGTTACCAGTTTTTAAAATTCCACAGTTTACTAAACCTCAGACCCGAGTGTCTCATTCCTCTTCCAGGTGACAACTCAGTCCTCAAGGGCACTGCTGGTAACTGACACTCCTCTCGGATGACAGCCCAGTCAAGCTACGTCAAACCATCATTTCTGTACACATTATCAGATTAACCCGACAGGAGATTAAAGGTTCTGTACGCTGCCTCGTTTATTCACCCTGTTCTGTAGAGCACACAATTCATCTTCTAGTTTTGCAACTAATGCTTTAAAATAATTCTAAATGATTGGAAATCATTAAATACGTATATAATAAATGATAATAAAAATGCTTTCTCTGTAGCTTTTTAGAAGACCAATGAATTGAATTGTGCAATTGAATAGACTGAATTCAAAAGGAGGGGAAAGTGATCTGTTCAGAGAGCTAATCTTATGAATCACCCTACTGTACGTCAGATGTTATTTAAAAATTCGGAGTAATCACAATAACCATAGTACAAGTTACAAGTTCTTTCAGGAAACATCCGTCTTGGATCAATCAGCTACTGCAACCAAACCGGCTACATGGGTCAAAGGGACTCCTCTTGTTTCTAACCTTACGTAACTATTTTGGCCACTACTCTCTAGCTTTTGAATTACTTATTCCTGGAATTAATTTGTTCTTGGCTTCAACAAGTATATATCTAAACTGTTGCCATGGGTACCGATTCCACATCTATCCTCTTTGTTTCCTGAAACGGCTTGCTTTAGATTCTACAGGCTTGATTTCAGTGGTTCCATTTGCTTTGTCGGATGTTTTTCTTTGTTATTCATCCCCCAAGCTAAAACCGAACCCGTCACGAATCCCCCGTCCACCGATACAGGAGGGGAAACACAGCTTCTTGGGGGGAAAGCGCAGAAGGGGAAACGTCCAGGGATTTCCCACGTGCCCCTGTTAAGCGGACTTGGGGTAACGAGAGGAGAGAGGCGGTTCGGGCTCCGAAACACACGGACCTCCCCAGAGTGAAGCAACGTCTGTGTGCCGTCTGGCTGTGTCTCCAGCACAGTGACAGCGGTCAGTCCCAGAGCCCTGGCTACTGCCGAGTCCTCCACACTGGTGTCAGGAATGCCTGCCAGGACAGAGAGGGAACAGATGGGCAGTTGGTGAACAGGGACAGATTCTACGCAACCTTCATCTCTGAGGAATACTCCCGATACAACAGCTGAACTCTTCTGTTTTAGCCACCGGGACGAAACGCTCCCCTACAATCGACTCACGTTAAAGTGGAACGAGGTGCCCCAGACTGAAAATAAAAACCACAGCACCAAACCCAACAAAGACATTCCACACCTTTCACATTAAGCCCAGCTACAGGGCTTGCGTCTGACCTATGTGCCGAGTCAGACACACCTGCCTTATCAAATACAAAAGAATTTCTCATTTTTTGCTTACATTCTCTCGTTCTTGATCTGAATGAACAGACTGCACGAATGCAAAACAGGCCCCTCAAGGAATTTCGTAGAAAGCTGCTAATGAAATTCCACCTTGTCAGGGTCAACAGGTTATAAACAGGTTCTGTCTTTACATCGTAACAATACCTGAAGGGATACAAGATCCCTTATTGCCATAAGAGAACAATTGTATGCTCATTTTAACACTAAAGCAAAGTTAATTTAACTATGAGAGAAAAGCCCTAAAAGACACAGTGTACTCTTAGACCCAGAAACAAGAGAAGTGCCTTTCATTTATTAAAAGTCTGGTACAGAATCCGGGCCTGACGTACAGGAAATTAATAGGACCAATCGCCTCCTTACCTATGATGGTATCCAGGTGACCTTCGAACTCTGGCTTAGCGGAGATAACAAGGGGGATCTCCTGACCAGTGAACAGATTCGCTGCAGTGATTGAGGTCAGGCAGTCTGCAGGGATCACGAATTACAACTCAGACAAAAACACACACACACAAAAACAGAGCAAGTCTGTGGCTCCTGTTTCATTAATTTGCGTAACCATCCCCCATTCTTCATTATGAAGGATCACACATTTGAAAGAGCCCCACAGGACCCCCAATTAAAACACACAAAGGCAGCAAGAAAACACAGACGTAGCAGAGAGCTGAAGTAGCTGAAGTGAAAATAAATGCAGCAAAGGATGTTGTCCTTCACTAGGCTGAAGTCTCTGCTTTGTAATCACAGCCGGGGCCGACAGGGCTGTCTGAAGGCTGAGGTAAAATGAAATCATTTTGCTGTAAATGGAGGCAGAATTCTGTAACCAGTGAGCAGGGATTCACTTCTCTGGCCCCAGTGTCGTCTGTCAGGCAAGCCCTTTCACTTGTTCTACAGAAATGAAGATGCGTTGACTCGCATCAGATAAACACCTGAATTCACAGGGTAGTTTTGTCCTTTTAATAATTCGGGTCTCACCGCCTTTAGATCATGAGGCAACATACTTTTTTATCCAGTTTGCTAATAAATAAAGGTTTAAAGAGGTTTGTGGATATATAATCGGCACTAATCCTGTAGCTGTGCTCCACTTTGGTAAATAAGGGCAGTTTTAATAAGCAAAATGTCAAATACATAAAGGTGCTTATTACTCCATGGGGAAAGAAATTAAGGGAGCTGTCTGAATAAAGGAAAATGGGTCACATGAGCCCTGAACCAAAATACTAGACTCAGAGATGGAATGGATCATTACATCACATCTTGCCCACTATTTGACTACACAGTGAAACTGAAAGAGTAAAATAGAATTCAACATTACTTTCACTCCTAGATTAACTTTTGGCTATTTTAATATTGGAAATGAAGGGTGAATACACACAGATTACTCGAGAAAAAGGAGATCATAATGATCTTCTGTGATAATGATGAACAATGGTGAACTACATAGGGCTTTCCTTTGGACCTCCAACCACAAGACAGATACATTTCTACTATGTTTTCATTTCAATTTATGAACGGCCTTTGACTATTCCAAGAGCACCATCAAACTGAGTATGTTTTCTCTTTCAGGAACCCAGCGACTTGCAGGCTGATTTTCAAAGGTTTTTGTCGTGCTCGTCACAGTCAATGAGAGGCAGGACCGCCGGTTACCGTGGGAATTAAATCAGCAGGAGTCTCGCACCACCTCAGGCGGGCATGGTGGACAACTGTCTCCAGGTGGTGCAAGGCTCCTGTCCAGTTCATTCCCATGGTAACCGGCGGTGAATGACAGATGACCAGAGAGACCGTGTAACTACCAGCTCGCCCAACCGGTCAAGATTCTTTTTCACTTTTCTGACTCAAATGCGTGTGTTTGTGTGGAAGTTGAGAGAGGGATGCGGTTGTGGGAGAGAACAGCACGCGGCGCGATCAGCATTCCACTCACCCTCCCCTGGCACGTGTGCCTCCTGGAGGGCAGGCCTCACAGGGCTCGAGCCGTGAAGCAGGCGGTGAGAGGGCAGGATGGAGAGGAAGGCAGCTCCGTACACGGCCTCAGGTGTGGAGGTGTAGGCGGCCAGCGTCTCGCCCGTCTCCTCTCCATCCACCTGGAAACAGGGTGAGCTTCAGAGCCACAGAGCCACGCCAAGACAGCACCAGCCATACTGCTGGGAAACACATAACGAGGGCCTCCTATGGTGCTTACTAGGTGTCACTTAGCATCCATGATTAACTGTAGTTTGAAACCCTGTCAGCTGATCAATTATGCCTAACTAATGTGGGAAAAACAGCTGGATTTACATAAACACAAACAATATAATAACCTTGAGACAACAAAGTGTCGCTGTGATGAGTTGAAGTGAAATGAAGTGACAGGTCAAGGAATTGGATTAGTCTTTTTTTTAAATGAATAAACGTGAATCATTGTTTACAGCTGTGCCTATAATAGGCCCTTTAAATTGCTCAAATGTAACACTTCAGTCTTCAAAAATAAATTATAAGGACTGTGGCTAATGATCCTGAAATCGTGTCAACACTCAATTAAAATTTTTAAAAATGATACCACGTAACTTTCACGGAAATTGGTTTCAACAAAAACATACTCAAGATAATCTTCTGATGTACATCTACAGTTATTAATTATGCTCATACATGCCAATTTAAATCTTCACAGCAGCTCAACAGAGGACTATCTTCCTCATTAGTCTTAATATTTCTCCACAGACAGGTCGCTTCATGTTTCCAATTTATCAGTTTTCTAAAACTGCATATAGTGAGATGTGGTTTAGACAGAACTTGAAAGCAGGTTGAAATATAAGCACAGACATTTTTCAGCGTGATCACTGGATAGCACACACTAACTTGGTCCAAAAGCTACTTTACTAATCCTTTTTTTAAAAACTCATATTATGTATAAAATATAAAACACTTCTTTCTGCTATGAGTTTATTTATTGTATATAAGATAAAATTAGCTTTGACATTTACACACAGACCCACTTAAATAAAACGTCTGACACCACCTAATTTTAATTTGAATACAACAGCCCAGCACTCTTCAGTTGAACTGGTTCAACCGTAAAACCAGCAAAAGATGGAAAAACAAGAGGGTGGCAGTGCTGGAAACGCAATGGCTACAGGAAGCTGAAATTCATCTTTCCTTTAAGATTGTGAGTGAACCGCAAGTCATCCCAGAAGAAGAGAGACTGCAAACTGAAAAACCTTCTTTTCTTTCATGGCACGAGCCAGCTCTTCCTTATGAAATTGTAAAGCTCGCTGTTACAGTAGTTACTTTGTGCTTTGAAGGGGTTTCCTTGATGTTGCTAGGTTTCCTGCAGTGTTCTTAGAGGACTGCTATCACACAGCCCTCTGAACACCAACCTGTGCAGTGAGGGAAAGGGTTAAGAGCACATTGTAGCTCTTAGCTTCCTGGGCAGAAAAACTGCCTGAGAAGTAACAGGAGCAGTAGATAAGGTTATGCGTCACTGAAATTGTGCTGGACTTAAAAATAAAGTTCAAGGACTAGTAGGGAGTGGATGTCTGGAGCTGTAAATAAGCTGTCTTTGTCCTGCGATATCTTTGCTTTATACTTTACTGCTCAAATATGTTAACTATTCCTTTTTGTGCTCGTTTTTGTAACTGCGTGTCTCTATACAGTAAATGGGAAAAGTTCCAGCTGGGACTTTTTAATTGCCTGTTGCACCTGTGGCTCACCAACTCCTGTATGCAAACACAATAAACTCACAGCACCTTTCTCATAAAGGAACCTACCTGAGAGTGTGGGTTTCCTACAGTAGCTCTGGACAACAGCTATGGGAGTGGGCTTCAAATTTCTACCTTCAGCCCGCCATCATTGTTACTTACTCATACTACTATAACCCTAGACATACTTGAATCACAGGAGGCAAAAATCAAAGAACTAAAACCCCAAATTCTTTTGCCGAGCACTGTGATTTGCTTTTTTTGCCAAACAGCTCCGTTTGGGGGGGGGAATGTTTTGCTGGTAGCTACAGGAGGTGTCAGACAGCCAACAGCTGGCGCAGCAATCCCCTGACTACAATAATCATACAACCCCCAGCACTACAAGAGCGTCTACAAGGATAATAAAAAAGGACACAATCCCTGTGCCTCCATCAGACAGTGACCTTTATCTGGCTCACATCTTGACGGAGCAGAAAGTAGGGCACAGTGAGACATAAGGCGTCATGAGACAGAGCTGGTAACCAGGATCCACGTGCACTTGCACAGCTCCTGTTGGAGAATCTGCAGCAAGCATTTAAAATGATTTTTTTACTGTTCTATTAGAATCAGACAAAATTAATTATACACAGCAACCTTGGGACTCATATCTACCTAGACTCTACAAGTCTTCTGAACAAAGTCCAATATATTTTCCCCAATACCTGTGCTGGTCAGTGGTATACACAGAAAAACAGGTGCCACATATGTATCATCAGATTTAAACCACTGGAAACAGGCATTTTTATACAGTTAATAGAACATCTGTTTCTTGATTTGTATCCCAAACAAAAGACGTTTTGTCTGAATTTGGTAAAATGTATCAAATATCCTGAAGCAGCCCCACTGAAGTTGTTGTTTTTATCACGTTATTTCTGATTTATAGTCACTAAGGACTGCTTGCAGAGTTGTGTTTATGTTTAAGTGTCTTGAATTTGTTTCCCGCACATAAATGTTATAAAACATTGACTTAAAACACACAAACAGACTAGTTTTTACAGTTAATAGCAGTGCTATTGTGGACATGTTACTTTAGCCTGTTTAATGAAAAGTACATCACATTATATTTAGTGCATTACCTGTTTAATGAGAAATAATATCTTGTTTTAGATACTGTGTGATGTACTTTAACTGGATCAGGCCAATGACTATCGAAAATTGTTGGAAGCCAGATTTATGGTCGCTAAATAATCGATCATCTACTGTATATTATTATTAATCCCATAATCAGGTGATACTTGAATTTACTAAACCAAAACTTCAACAGTTTTATGATGTGAACACAATACAGAAGGCACTAGAGGGCAGCATTTAATAAATCAAATACAAAGCAAATACAGTTAAATTCTAAATGGGAAGCAGTTTTAATCGATTAATTAATTGACCAGAAGGGAGAAATAATCTAATAAAAGATGGCACCGTGACTAAAAGCTGTATGAGCTGCACTGTCACATAAACGACACCTACCAAGTTTGTAGCTTATAGGCCAAACAGTTTTTGCATAAAGCCAGTTGAGAGGAAGGGACAGATATGGGATTAACATCAAAATGGCAGCCGGAAAATCTGAGCATTGTTCAAATTACTTCGCAAAGTCTGGAGCCCATTGTTGAAGTCCTTTCTGAAGAACAGCAGTCAATAATACGGGGAACATTTCATATTCATTACCTGATGCGTTGTGGGCATAAAGGTGTCTCTGCTATATGTGAGGAACAGAATGAAATCTACTTGGCTGCCTTACAACATGGTGATGAGGCAGCCATTTTGGTTTAGGAATCCCATTTTTACAGATCCTGTTGGTATCGATCATATAGGAATAAGTGTGTAGGAGCAGTCTGCATGACTGGCAGCGTTTCTCTAAACAATTTATGACCCTTTGTGCAATTTTTGGGTGCCATTTTTTTCTAAAAAATAAGCGTCTGTGACTGCTGAAACTTGCCAAGTTTCAATTCAATCAGTGCCGCGATTCCTAAGATGATTCTGACAGAGGTGTTGAACACGGGTTGTCAGCGGGCCAGCTTGGTGGACGCACAGTTTATGTCACAACTGTGATGGCTTATCTGTCCCGATCTAGTGTGCTGCCAAACACTACAGGGCCTGGAAACGCAAAGGGTTCAAAAGGAGAAAGAAAGAAAAAATCCACTACAGGCTTTCACCCCTTGAAGGCTAAAGATGAATGTAAAATGAATTTAAAAGGTAATGGTAAAACCCCACCTTTAAGCGGAAATCAAAGTAGCATCCTGTGCAGTCCCCAATCCAATTGGCTTGCATTGCTTTGACACCATACCACTCGGGAAGCTCAGCCAGCGCGTCCAGAAGAGGCTGTTGAACACAACACAGAGACATCACATTCCTCTCCGTCAGACAGTACTCGATAAAGAATACGTCTGGAGCGAGAGAACGCGTTCTCCGTTTGGGTGAACGGTACCTACCACTTGGATTTCATGCATCGCAGCCGTAGCCACAAAAAGAATCTGAAGGAGCTGTCTGAACGATTCAAACCAAACAGGGCGAACTGTGGAAGGGCAGGTCAGGCTCCAGATCGACACAGTCTCCGCATCTTTAAAGTCTCAGTCTCCGTAACGTCACTGCGTCAGACGGCATGCCAGTTTAGCTTGGCTGGCTAACGTTTTTGACGAGGTTTTGATTCACATTTTCAGACACAGATATTATAGTATATTGTCTCAGCTGCAGTGAGTGTAATTCCCACAAACCGGGCTCTTCGTCTCAAGCTAAAGCATAAGCCCACTCAGGCCTTCAGATTGCTGTGGGTGCAATCTGCCACAATAAGACAAAAACACAGGGAAAAAAAGTACACATCACTTTCACACCTCACTTCTAGCACACAACAACAAAATCCACTAATTGCCTGGAGAAAACGAATTATAGCAGCCGGCTACAGCAGTTCCTCCATTAGACTCTTGTGGAGACACCAGAGGGGGATCTGGATAAAAACACAACACTAAGGAAGCAACAGAAGTAAGATCTCGATACGCAATAATATGTTAAAAAAGTTTTATGGGAGCAAAGCCGAAACCGGCAGCTGGAATCTACCCCCCCCACCAAAAAAAAAAAAAGCTTAATGAAATGGAGGAAGAACCCTCTCAACACATAACAAATGCGTGACAGATCCTGGTTTCAGTCTATCCAGCGAACTCCTGTACTTCATTTACAAGCGCGTGTACAATATCAACAGCATGAAATCCCGGGGAGCAAGCAGCTGTGATCTCCTCCCTGAATTGAGCTGTTCTGAAAAGCTGAAAAACGCCATTTGATGTCTCTGTCTCTCTCCATCACATTCCATTACCCCTTCTGGCATGAGATCCCTCCTTATGGTGTGTGAACCCAACAGCACCAACACAAGGAGAGCCAATTCCTCCAACACTGACGCTGTGGCTGCATACAGATGAGGGCTCAACTTAACAAGGACCAGAAAGCATGACAGCGCTGCTTGCCTGGAAGGTGTTGCGACTTCATGCCCAATTTTGAAAATTTCTCAGATGTCTCTTCTGATTAAACACCGTTTAATACTTAATAACAACTTTAGACAAGCTTAGCGGTCAATCCCATTTTCAACAAGCTGCTGTTTTCTGTTGCTCAAACTCCTTCGTTTCTAGCGATACTCAAGTGGTTTATCTGGGGAGAAATGCAGCAGGCGTGGCTGTTTGGGAACATAAATGACAGCAACCAGAATAAAATAAATTCTAGTTTTACTACTATAGGAATAAGGAGTACTTTGAAAATAAAAACAGAACTTGTACCTGTTCGTATCAAACTACTAATCAAACACGTGATTAAAAAATGTATAGAAACAAGCAGAGGTTAGTTCCTTGCTGAAAAACCTCTACTAATTCCTTTTTTAGCCTGTTTCCCACCAGCTCCGAGGACACAGCTCAGCATTTGAAGCTCTAGGAAATGTAAGCAAAAGCTGAATTCAGATAGGGAAGCAGATTCTCTCTCCTCCCCCCGGCCCGCTGTGCTGTGGGGGTGCCTCGCGTTGCCCCAGTGGGAGCCGCTCTTCAGTGCCGGGAGACGGGGGTCCCCTCCGGTACGGAAAGGGCTCGGAGATTCTTCGGGAATGAAAAGAGCTTCATAAACGCAATGAATTATTATGATGATTTCTGCTACCACAGTCCTCAAACACGGTCTGGAGAAGGGGAAGGGGGTGTCTTATATGATCTGGTCAGAGGTCACATTCTTCGGCTCCCATCTTCATGTCTTATTTTCGATGTTAAACGCAACGCACTTTCATGCTGCCAGCTTTCTTAATCACTTTAATTGTTATTCTGATCCCTCCCGCAGGCTTAATTCTGACTTGAGCTAACCTGATAAATCACAAAGAGTAAGGCGTACTGTAGCATGAGGCCGGCTAGTGAGCGCCTGACTCCCCCTGGGACACAGCTGGGCGGACTGGAACCACTGGGGTACAGCACCTCACTCAGGGGTACAGCAGCACTGCCTGCAGCAGGGACTCGAACCCTCTACCTGCCAGTCATGAGCC